TGCTGATCTTAAAGGGGGTTGGCAGCAGTGTCAGACTGGAACTCCAGGGTTGTGAAAATGGATTTCTATCCCTTATCCATGTGAAAGGAGTCAGATTGATGTGAGAGAGGGTTCTTTTCTTGTGTGTGTGCACATGCTTTGAAAAACAATCGCCAAATTAGGACCTAAAATGAAATACTATGTTGTCAGGTGATTGAAGACTGTGTGTATGGGCAAGGTTACTTAAGTTGAACAGGAAACTTTAGTTCTGAGGGTTCCCTGTTTATTCATACTAGTCCTTGTAGCTATAATGTTCTTCTAAAGTGTCTGTGTGCAATCTATATTGGTTGTGAAAGGTATATTTTTAAGTTAAATACTGAATTTGCCTAATACTAGGGTATACTGAGCTGTGGAAACTAGTCATGTACCATGGATTCTTGAGGTTGCTTTCTTAAGTTAGGTAAAATGTGCTTAAAATTCTTCTGGCAAATAAAGTTACTTAATTCTTACTGAGTTTGAATTTGTCTAAAGGACGTGAAGTAGACATTACTATCTGTTATTTGCTACAGATACCAGACTACAGGAATGCTGTAATTGTGGCCAAATCACCTGCATCTGCAAAGAGGTGGGTAAGATTTGCTTTCTGTGTTAGAGCAGGAAGTCTCAATTGTGATTTTTTTGTTTGTTTGTTTTTGTTTTCCTTCTTAGGATCAAATGGAGGACTGAGATTGAGTAAAGGTGCAGCCTTCCAACATGTACCACTTCAGCTTTGTCAGATGTGTAGTTTTTAGATTATTGCTAAAATCCTAATCAGTGTAAGGAGAGTTTAAAACAAATGAAAAGCAGGTTAGATAACTGCTTTATCCCAAGCACTGCATTAATTTATTCAGTCATGTTTTAGTGCAAAGACTCACAAATATAAATTCTGTGCTATAAATGATGGAAAATGGCTGGAAGTATACCTTCAGGAGTCAGAAGTAATTACTTAACATAGTCTCATGTTAGATCACGGACTGATCAGATCTCAATTACAGATGATTTGCCATCTAGTGAATGGTGAAACACTGTTTTATGTTAGAGCCAATTTTCCTTGTGAAGTCCTTTTTGGCTGAACAGTTGCCCTTAATTCCTGTAGCTCTTTTTGGTTATCCGTACATAAGCTGTTTGGAATTTTGTTGCTTTCAGAAGCTGCTAAAGAGTTGGATGATGATTTAAAAAATACTGTTTCTACTGTGATGACAAAATAGTTTATTGAAAAGTTAATCTAGACTGTCATCCCAAAGAATCGATACTCCTTTAAGAAAGCTTTTATTTTTATGTAGAAAATCAGAAATGCTTTGATTTGTAGAGGCAGTGCTTTGCACTCTTTATGTGATATCTTTTGTGTTGGCCAGCTGTTTCACCCTTGCTTGGTTTTGACTGTTGTTCTTTTGTGTCAGTTCCACCTCTTGGGTGTAGACAGGTGTTTGAAGCATTCTCCAGGCCCCTGTGCAGGCTAGTGTGCATGTTCAATTAACTGTTCAGATAAGATGCATGCAGAACGGATTGCTTTCTGTAGGAGAGAACTGCAGAACTGTATTGTTTAGCTTCACGTGTACGTGTGAGCCTTTAGGGACATGATTGGAGGAAGGGTGTTGTGTTGGGGAGGGGGTGGCTGATTGCTTCAATCAAATCAAGAAATGCTTTTCAGATGAATGTCTCTATGAAAGAGGAGTATTGCTTGATAAAATTCAGACTGTTTCAGTAGCTTGAGTTCCTTGGAAAATGAATAATAAATCATATCCCTGTTGGAACTTTGTTCAGTTTATTATATCTAAAGTCCTTACAGTTTCACTGGTAGAATTACACCTTTAAGTCATATCTCTTAAGGTCATATCTCTTAAGATAAGTATGTCCGGAATAACTTATGCTTGTTTTGCCACTTGAAGCAATAGGCTAATTTTATGATAACACTGCAGTGCAGAAGATTGTTCAGTTTTAATTAATAGAAACTCTCATCATGGGTAAATTATTCTCTGGACTGAGTGGTTTTGGAGGTTAAATGAAACATAACTGCAAAGGAGATGGTGGTTTAGGCCACAGGTCTTAGACACTAGTTAGAACTAAGTGACTTGCTCTGGAGACTTCACTATTACTGGAAGGAGACTAATTTTGGGTGTGGAAAAGTTAGGTAATGTGAATCTAACTTTATTTTTACTTGCTGGATTGTACTGCTTGGCGTCTGGGATACAAGCACTGCCTGAAATTACTGTTTTTTGACTCGCTTGCTCTCTATATTCCCTTCTTTATCTGCAATAATTTTGAAGGTTAAACTTTACATTTCTAATTCTAGTTGAAGAAATAGAGCTGATGAAGACTTGCTTTTTTTATTAGACTTGTAAGAATCCAAGCTATTTTAGTATTTCAGGCAAAGTGATTGACTTTTTTTTTTTCTTTTCTGTGGGATCTCTTGGGTTACATGTCAGATTGTCAGGGATACTGGCTTATTTAATGTACGTCTTGCTAAACAGATGAACACTGGTGCTGTTTTAATTACAAAATGAAAATTCAAATGAATTGAATATAGATGGTGCACACCTCAAGGCTGTTCTGATGGTTGGGTGAGACCTGCTTATGTGCAGGATTTAAAGAATGTGGAGGTCCAGGGTATATGTATTTCTTTTTTCCAACTGTTAGGTGTCATTTTGCATGGACACTGAAAACCAGAAAGGAGTAGTGTAAATTGCCTGTTTCACAGCATTTACCCTCCTGCCCACAAGGCCAGTGTGGCTACTTTCAGGGTGATTTGGACTCAAAAGTCTAATTTAGAAAAAGATAACAGAGAAAGTGGTTTCTTCTGTGCTTTTTCCATTAGGATCTTTTTGTTTAGTATTAAAATGGGAATAGACTAGTATGTGAATTACGTTGTGTAACTTTGTCAATCCTTCCCTTGCAGAGCGCAGTCGTTTGCCGAGCGCCTGCGGCTGGGAATCGCCGTGATCCACGGGGAAGCTCAGGATGCCGAGTCGGACATGGTGGATGGTCGACACTCACCACCCACCGCCAAAAACGTAGCTGCTATTCACCCCAGCTTAGAGATACCCAGTAAGTAAGTTGGTGTGTGCAAGCATCCACCAAGTGGGGTTTTGGTGGGGGAGAGGCTATTAAAAAGGAGTATTTCTTATTAATACACTAAGGGATTTTTTCGATACATTTTGTCCATGTTGTTGATCATAGGCAGTGCATCAGGTCTCTGTGTGCCATAGGAAGAGCTTTGCCTCCTCTGCTGGTCAGGAGAGGCCACGGAAGAAGATTAATTTTTCAGTTTGGAATTTTTTTTTTCTGTGATTTTCAGGGATTTTTCTGGGCTATACTGAGCTGACACTGATATTGTGCAAGTGTGTCAGTGTTAGTGCTTGTTGACCGTTTCAGCAGCACTGTGTATAGGTTAAGAATTGGGTTATAAATGCACGTAGTTAATACTTCAACTAAATTTAAACAGTTAGTTCTGTATAAAAACCTTACTGCTTTTCTCAGTAGAACTGTGATAACTGAAATAGTTGCTGCTCTACTTCTTTTTATATAATGCTAGTGCCCCTGCAAAGCAGACATTTCCACAGTTGATGTATGTTGCATGAATTTTTTTTCCTTCTCTCTCTCTCTCTCTTTTTTTTTTTTAATGCTGTTAATCAGTGCTGATTCCAAAAGAAAAACCACCCATCACGGTCGTCGGAGATGTAGGAGGAAGAATAGCCATCATTGTGGTAAGTGAGATGCCAGGGCTTTTGATAAATTGTATTAAGGGCACAGACTGAAATGCTTGTTTGCTTGTCAACAGCTAAACTTTTGTTAATGGTAGATTTGCTGCTGTGGTTTTACACCATGAGGCAATAATCTGCATATTTACTGAAGCTGATGGTATGAAATATAAAATGAAGAGCAGCATTCAGAACCATTTCTGCTGAATAGTCCTGGTGAAATTCTGTTGAACCCCTTTCCTAAGGGTGGGGGGTTTCAGTTTGACTTTATACGTCAGATAAGAGGAGAAAACTATCATGTATGTTTGCAGTCTGTGAATTTAGAAATATTGGTGAAGTAGAAATTAATGTGGTCTTACAGCCTGAAGAAAGGCTAGTCTTTGGGCTTTTAAAGGAAAAAGATATTACATGTATTGGCTTTTGAATTAAAGGGGTGTGTGTGTGTGCTTTTTTTCCCCTCTTTCCATCATGCAGCCTGTTCCCTCCCTTAGTGTCACAGGTTGTTTTGCACGTTCTGCTTTCCCAGGCCTCAGCCTTTGCCATCTAACTTAGGTGCCTGAAGAATAACTTAAATAAAAACATCCATTTTGCATTGGATGTAAACTGTTGTTCTTGAAAAAGATTCACTGTCACTGCAGGTGTTCTGTGTTGATATTTCTGAGGACACGTTGAATCTTCACTGATGCACTCGTGTTTTGACAGGATGACATTATAGATGATGTGGACAGCTTCCTTGCTGCAGCTGAAACCCTCAAGGAAAGAGGGGCCTACAAAATCTTTGTAATGGCCACACATGGCCTGTTGTCTTCAGATGCTCCCAGGCTGATAGAGGAATCTGCTATTGATGAAGTAAGTTTGGATTCTAAGTTTCTAAACAATCTTTTTCTTTTTTTTATGAAGCAATTTTTTGGTGATTTGATTCTTAAAAAGTATTTTCCAAAACTTCTCCTTTTTTTTTTTATCCTGAGAGTAATGTAAAATCTTGTTCTCTATCAGTTACTTGAAAAGAGTAATTTCACAGTATCCTGAGGAGCAGACATTTCCTTTCACAGCCCTAATACAGGAGAGGGGAAAACATGAGGGAGTTAGGCCTATCTAAGATTGTATTTTTCTTTCTGTAGGTCGTTGTCACAAACACAATTCCACATGAAATACAGAAACTCCAGTGCCCGAAGATCAAGACTGTGGATATCAGCATGATCCTGTCAGAAGCCATTCGCAGAATCCACAATGGGGAGTCCATGTCTTACCTTTTCAGAAATATTGGACTGGATGATTAATTATTCCTTTTATTCTAAATAAACACCCCAGGCCAAACTGGAAACAAACAGAAAATGAGCTGTGAAGCATCATGCTTACCTTAATATTTCAATTGAGCCACTTTGTTTTCTTTTGTTTTGAATATCAAGGTAGAACTGATTTTTAAGATTTTTTTTTCCTCATTTTTTGGGGGGGTAATAAACATTTTACAGAAAATGGTTCTAGTTGCTTTTAGGTTAGTTGCACTATATAAATGACCAGGAAAAAAAAACACTTAAGGCAAGAATTTGGCTTTTAAATTAAGCGTTCCTTTTCCAGAGCTGCTTGCTACAAGTGCTATAAAGATAATAAAATGAAGTGACTGTATAATATTTTCATTTTAAAAGCCAAAAGGGTTGTACTGTTGTATGCAGTTAAGTGATTTTGTAGGAGTGCTTTTATAGAAAAGCATATGAAATATGCACCTGTATTTATTTTCTGCGATAAAGAATAAAGATCTGTTTTGTGTGAGCTTTTTAAAAAGGTTTACATGATAGTCACTTGTCTTCTAAAGTATGTTTCTTCTAAAAATTATTTGCAGCCCTTACATTATAGAAAGAAATCAAGGGGCAAAATGGTTCTTGTATGTTTTATGTTCTTTTGGAAAACAGGATTCCTGCTTGTCAGTACGAAACTAATCTGCTTTTTTTCCTTGTTTATAATGCAACACTTGCTGCTCTTTCCCAATGCTGCTGCTTGTTGCCACTGTGTTGATGCCCCTCTTGCTGCTGAGCCATCTTATAAGAGGCAAATCCTTCCCTAGCCAGGGCCACGTGCTGTCACAGGTACATTAGGTTAGATAGGCGAGCACAGCGACAGCTCTGAGAAACAGAACTTGGGGACCAAATAGCCCCAAACCATCAATTTTTATAATGTTAAGTGGCATCTTGCAGGTAGGGCTCTTGAGTGGAAAATAACTTGCAGCATATCTTGATTTTTAGACAGCGAGTGTCTTAGTGTTGCAGGACACTTAGGTTTTATTTGATTTAATCTCTCTGAAATATCCTGCATATGAGTGTAAAATATTTGCTATGCCCAGAACTAGAATTGAAAAGTAACCTCTGTTGACACCGTTTTCCTCTGCCTCAGTCTTCCAAGGGCATGAATGAGCTGGAGCTGATGGAGCACCCGGCAGGATGGAGCATTGGACAGTGACTAGAAAATTTAAATATTGCCAGCAGGTTCAGCATTGACATTGATGCTGAATCTCATTGACATCAATCTTCAGGAATGTTCAGCAAATACAATTCATATTTTACTTAAGCAAATCCACATTTCTGTGTAGAAAATACTGTTCTCATTCTGTGAGCTGATTTTTCGGGATTCGATTTGATTTCTGTAGTCTTGGTCTGAGAGGTATTTTCTGTCTCTATCGGATACCAGAATGCAACTTTCTATCTGGGTTATATTTTAATGAGAATAGATTATTAAACAGTTTAGTGGTGTTACTAGACAGACTAAGCTGATGTATTAACACTTTTATGTGCTTTGAATGCGTTCATGCAGGTTAAATTCCAGCTGAGCAGTGTGTGGGAACTAGAGTCTCTTACCAGTGAAGTAAAGACTTGCAGAATTCAAGCTTGTCTGTTCTGAGCAGAATAAAGATTCACAGTGCTCAATACTGCAATTTGCAGATTCATCTATCGGTCATTCCCCTCTACAGCTTTTATTTTGGTGCTTCCTGGATGTGTCTTCAGTGTTTTGTGCTACTTCTCCAAAAAGAGTAGCAGCTATTAAGAGTTTGGCTGTAGGACTGAAAGAAGTGCTTTAATTTGCCATTACTTTTATTTTCTGTCTTGCATAATTGCTGTGATTTTGGCAAGGGATATATATATTATTTTTCTTCCTGCTTCTTGTTTCACACTGGTCTGTGAAGCAGTAGCCTCATCTCAGAGAGCTGCTGATGATGAGCACTAGTGTGCTCAGGGTCCACCTAGGATGTTAACTTAAGTCCTGTGTCTTATCACTCACTTAATATGTATTTATTTGTTTTTAAACTAGCTAATTCAGTGCAATGTGATTACTGCCTTGGTTAGGACTAAGGAATTTGCAATCAGCTGCTGGGGTAAGGCTGGTGCTTAAACTTTTTGTAGTACAGAAGCAGCTGAAACAGCAAAGTGGCCGTGTCTCCGCTCAGCCACTTCTTATACTTCTCTTATCACAAAATATCTGCAGAATTACCTAATCTGTGTTCTTTTCTCAGAAGCAAAAATGTTGGGTCACCTGAAACACCAGCTCTTCTTAGAGGCATTTCTCTGGAAAATAAGGAACATGCACTTTGGAATGAAACAGAGACAGCCGCAGTGGTACAGTAATGAACTAGTCAAAAGATCATGCAAATTCTTTCCAGGTTGATGTTATCTGCAAGGGAGCTATTGGGTTCTGCTTTACAGCTTATGGAAGAACTTTCTGATGTTAACAAGCACTTAAACTAGGATTTTTTTTTAATTGAAAACAATTTCTACTTGATCAAGCTTAAATTAGAAATTGTAGAGTAGCATTTACTGTATAGCAATCCTCATCCGTGTATGTGATTAATTGCTGAAATACTTTTCTTTTTAGCTCGGTTTACTAATGAAGTTCAGGTCATGGAGCATGTGTATCTGTTAGGGCTTTGATCAACCTTGACCATGAAAGGAGCAATAGCTGCCAAAAACTTAAATTCCCACCAGTTTGGTGAAAATAGCTGGCTAGAGGAAAGAAGCCTTCGTAGATCTGGGTAAAGGAGCTAAAACCTGCAACCAGAGCAGCTTTTGCAAGGCTGCAGCCTGAGAATCCGCATGGGAGAGGCAGGTGAAATGTCCATGTCTGGAACAGCTTGGAGAGGAACAGGCACCTTCTTGGATGTGGGAGACACAACACGACAGATGCAGCGAGTCCTTGCAACGGAGCTGCTTGTTGGTGGGCGCTTCCTGCACCGGGAAGGGTGCTGGGGAAAATACAAGGTTTAAGGGCACTGCCTGCAATTTTGGGATTGCTCTGCAGTTGCTTTGCTGTCACCCTGTGGTGCCTCCATCCAGAACGAGTGAAAGACCCGATGCCGCAGAGGATGGAGCTGGGAAGGGTGGCGGGAAGGCCCGTGGTGTGGGGCTGGAGGAACGTTGTCCCATATGGACATGGCAGCTCAGACGAGCTGTATCCAAACAGCTTTCCTGGCTGTGGCCTCGTTGGTGTTAAGGGGTTCACGGCTGCCTCATTCCCTGCGGCTGAGCTGGGCATCCGGATGTCAGCGGGAAGGGGCAGGGAGCGGGAAAGGCAGAGACCAGCCTGTACTTGGGTGACTGATCTGCCCCACTGCCACCTTTGGAAGCCAGAGCGGTGGCACTTGTTAATGATCAATTCCCCCAGGCAGCTTGCGAGTTACTGATTTGGTGGTGATTTTTTTTTTCCAAGGTTTTTGCTGGGGATGGAGAAAGAAGCAGTGGGAATGATGGAGGTTAATTCCACTGCTGGGTCCTTTAGTTCCTCGCAGCAATTTAGCGTTGCTGATCTTGTTGTCATAGTGGCTTATTTTTCCTTGAATATTGCAGTGGGAATATGGGTAAGAGCATTCTTTTTCTGGTGTCTCCTTTTGTACTTAATTTTGTGAAATATTTGGATTTTTCTCTATCCTGAGGGCTGGCTTCTCTGCAGAGTTGTGTTCCGAAAGCCCCCGATATTTTCCTGTTGTGTTTTGTGTTCACACTGAGAGTTGTGCGCTGTGCTCTATTTGCTGGATTCTATTGTATAAAATCTCTTTTGCTCGACATGGAAAGACTCCTATTGACTTAAACTGAGCAAATCCTGGTTAGCACCGTCTCCTAGCCTGGAGCCTGCTGTATGCATCGTTTCATGTAATTACGCTGGAGCTGCAGAGCGCTCGTTAATTATCCGGAGCCTCCCGTCTCTTGGTGGCTGTCTGGGGCGCGCGGGGACGGAGCGGCGGGCGCTCATCCTCTGCTCTCAGTCTTCCTGCAGGGCGAACAGGAACACCGTCAGCGGCTATTTCCTTGCCGGCAGAGACATGGCCTGGTGGCCAGTAAGTGGGGACACTTGGGGGATGTCCGCAAGGCAGCACGAAGGCCTGTAGGTCCCCCATGGCCAAGGGCACACGGAGGCCCCAGGAGACCGCGCCCAACTCCAAATGTCCCCTGTAGCCCAGGGCGCACGGAGGCCCAGGAGGCCACATGAATGCCCATAGGCCCCCCCTGTCCCTGGGTGCACGTAGGCTCTGGAGGGCCGCACGAAAGCCCATAGGGCCTCCATTACCCAGGGAGCACGGATTCCCCTGGAGGCCGCACTACGCTTGTAGAGAGTGGCTCAAGGCACACGGAGGCCCCGGGAGGCTGCATGAAGGCCCATAGAAGCCCCCTGTACCCAGGGCACATAGAGGCCCCCAGAGGCTGCTTGAAAGCATGCAGGGACTCCTTGCCAAGGGAGCACGGAGGCCCGGGGAGGACACACAATAGCCCCTAGGGCCCCCCTGACCCAGGGCACACGGAGGCCCCAGGAGACTGCACGAAAGCCCGTAGGTTCCCCCAGTTCCAGGGCGCACGGAGGCCCCGGGAGGCCACACAGATACCCATAGGACCTCCCTGTCTGAGCGCACAAGGAGGTCCCGGGAGGCTGCGTGAAAGCACATAGGGCCCCCCTAGCCCAGGGTGCACGGAGGCCCCACGAGGCCGCACGTAAGCCCATAGGTTCCCTCTGGCACAGGGCACACGGAGGCCCCACAAGGCTGCAGGAAAGCCTATACGTTCCCTCTAGCTCAGGGTGCACGGAGGCCCCAGAAGGCCGCACGAAATCCCATAGGGTCGCAGTGGCGCAGGGCACATAGAGGCCCCACGAGGCCGCACAAAAGCCCATACAGTTCCCCTAGTCCAGGGAGCACCAAGGCCCCAGAAGGCCGCACGAAATCCCATAGGGTCGCAGTGGCGCAGGGCACATAGAGGCCCCACGAGGCCGCACAAAAGCCCATACAGTTCCCCTAGTCCAGGGAGCACCAAGGCCCCAGAAGGCCGCACGAAATCCCATAGGGTCGCAGTGGCGCAGGGGCCCACCTATGGGCATTCGTGTGGCCTCCTGGGGCCTCCGTGCGCCCTGTATCAGGCAAGCCCTATGGGCTTTCGTGTGTCGTCCCGTCAGTATTTCATGCGGCCTCCTGGTGCCTCTGTGCGCCCGGGGTCAGGGGCAACCTATGGGATTTTGTGTGGCCTCCCATGGCCTCCATGCGCCCTGGGCCAGGCAAGCCATATGGGCTGCCGTGTGCCCTCTTGGGGGCTCCGTGGGCCAGGCAAGCCCTATGGGCTTTGGTACTGCCTGCCGGGGCCTCCCTGCGCCAGGCAAGCCCTACGGGCTTTCGTGTGGCCTTCCGAGGACTCCGTGCACCCTGGGCCAGGGGGGCCCTATGGGCTTTCGTGCGGCCTCCCGAGGCCTCCCTGCGCCCAGGGCCAAGGGTTCCCTCCCCGCTTTTGTGCGGCCTCCTGTAGCCTCCGTGCGTCCTTGGCCAGGCAAGCTCTACGGGCATTCGTGTGGCCTCCCGGGGCCTCCATGCGCAAGAGAAAGTTCTCCATGCCAGGGAAAGTTCTTGTCAGCCAGCATTTGGTTTCTGCACTGAGTGATAAACGTTAGATGGTAAGAGAATGGATGGCTTCATTCTTAAAATGAGGTAATGCTGTTTCAAGAGCTGGTTTCTGTTCCTGCCTCAACTGTGGAGTATCTGTTTTTTATGTAATAGTATCTTCCTGTTGTGTTTTGCAGACTTATTCTAGCAGCTAACAGAGATGAATTTTACCACAGGCCATCGAAATCAGCAGATTTTTGGGACAGCTGCAATGAAATCCTTAGTGGTATGTAGCTGTTATGTAGCTTTTGTTTTGGCTAGTTTTTAATATACTTTATGAAGGAATCAGATATGCAGAAACATAAGTGTAAAAAATATGTATATATTCCTCATACTTCTGGGGAAAATATTTCATGAAATTTGATATGAATTATATTGCTGTTGTGGTGTCTTTGTTTTAAGATCTAGAAAAAAATCCTTGAAGTTATTTGCTAACAGAGTGGCATTGTTAGTTTGTTCTGGGGAGGTAGGTACCAAGGGACTTGAATGTTTTCAGTATTGTGTTCTTTAATTAACAAGCAGTGCAATGGAGATTTAGTAAATCACAGCTAGCTGCTTCATCTTTTTCAGATACAGTAAAACACTTATTAGAATTAGTTACTCTGCATGCTCATTGTCTTTAGTCAGATAAACCTGTTAACCTGAGCCTCATGAAACTTTTCTTGTTTTTTGTTTTAATTAGTAATTCCTAAGCTACAGAATAGCTTTAGTTATTGATCTACTAGTAACCCAACTGTCTCCTCCTCTTTAGGAGAGAATCTGTCTTTATATGCTGACTTCTAAGTGTAACTAATATTTCTTCATTTTCTTAGAGACAAAATGGAAGGACTGGAAGACAAAACATTGTTTTAAGTACTGGATTCTCCCTTGGCAAAGGCTGTGTTACTGTCATTGGCAGGGAGGCCAGTGAGGATAAATTACTCCCGTTGCCCTGCAACTTCCTTGAAATTCTGGCTGATGTTCCAGATTTCTGGCAGTCTGGACACTGCTTACTCTGTTATGTAGTGAGTTTAAAGCAAAACAAACAAGACCCCTTGCTATCCTGAAATCTGAAAAGCCTTAAACTTTGTATGTAGGGTAAGAAGCTGGTGTTTTCTCTGTTCAGGGCCCTGTCTGAAAATTCCTTTTTAATAGACCCTCTTGAGATAATGTTTTCAAGCAATTGAGAAAAAAAAATTATTTTTAGATTTAACATTGAAAAATATTTTTTCTTTCAACAATATTACAAAACAGGAATTTTTCTGTTGGTCATTGGACGCTAGTCAGTGTAGCTGTATATAACCCCACAGTTAAGGTGAACAATAGTGGTGAAGTGTTCTTTAAAGATCTGACATGACTAAAATTGATATTGGGGTTTTGGATCCTGAAGAAAGTGTCTGAATAAGGGTCCAAAAACCTTGGCTTAGTCTTTTAATGAAAGCTTTCTTATGGCATTCTGCTTCAGAATTAAAAAGTTTTATAACAAGATGCATATTTGTGTAGAAACGTATCCCCTTTTCCATTAAATGCTTGGTGTTTAACATGAAGTCCTTGCAAATATGTTTTTTTTTTAAACTTATGCTCTGTTAGAAGTGAGTTTTTTGATTCAGTAATGCAAGTTACTGTTTTCTGAGCCCAAGATTTTTATTAGTTACCTCATTTGCTTTAAATTATTCTGTTTAATTTTTTCCCAAAATATTAAAGTAACAAGTAACAGTTAATCTTCTCAGGTATTTGTCCTTGAATTAATGTATTTTCTGAACCTACCTAAAGTTTGTGCATATGTTAGCATACTGGTACATCTTATTTTTGAATTTAATCTGCTTGTTCTTTCTCATTTGTTATTGCTGTGTCTTTGAAAGTATTAGCTAGTGCAGAATTGGGTTGGGTGTTTTTGCTTGCCTCATCTTTACAGTCTTGTACCTACTGATTTCATCCAGCCCCATTAAGACTTAAGACTTCATTGAGAAATTAAACTTAACCTTTTTGAAAAATGAGTGAAATGTTTTAGCTTTTGTTCTTTTAGGTCTGGATATGGAAGAAGGAAAAGAAGGTGGGACATGGCTAGGAATCAGTAAGAAAGGCAAGATGGCAGCCCTGACAAACTATATGCAGCCAAAGGTTGACAATAATGCAAAAGGAAGAGGTATGAAGAAATGAGAAAAAGAAAGCATACAGACAAGTCTTTGTCCTAGTAAAATAAAATGATGGTTGCAATATTAATATAAATTTTTAAACCATTTCGTTAGACCACAATGATGTTAACCCATGAGGATGTGTACCTGTGTGAGAAGCTTTACTTGGGCAAGGACATTCTAATCAAACAGGCAAAAGTAAAATGAGATATAGTGCCTAAATTTAAGTTGGTTACACCCAGACAAGAAATGCAGCATTGTTTTTTTCCATAATATTGGTTATAATTAACAGTGGAAACAGGACAAGGTTTGAGTTAGATTTTCTTTGTTTTTTAGGCAACACTAGATTTTTTTAAAAGTGTAAATGTTACTTTTTTTTTTTTTTTTTAATAGGAACATTGCAATTTAGTCCATGCTGAAGATTAGGCTAAAAGCTCATAACAGTTTCCTCTGAGTGATGAATCAGTAGTGAAATTGAAGAAACACTTCTGAAAGCACATCTGTTTTTAAAATAAAAATGGGTTTGTTTGTAGCTGTGTGGGACTGCAGTGGAAATATCTTGCAGGGGGAAAATGTGATGTTATACAGAAACAAATGGACTGTGTCACCTGTATCTCATTGCAGGGTCATACATCAGGGAACTGAGGCAAGACAGGAGGAAGTTTGGCAGGTGGGAGGAGAGGAAGGGCTTATCACGGAAGGCAGAGTTGATAAATGTGACTGCTGTACAACGGAGCTCTTGACTGAGTTGTTTCTCAAAATTAAAATCAGGTTTTTAATATAACCATGATACATACCCTTAAGATTTTAAAGGTTCTTTTCCACTGATATTAATGGTATTGGTAGCAGGAAACTTATGTATGATTACTTCACCAACCCAGCCAGAATAGTGAGTTCCCGTGTCCAAGTTGCTCTATGTACTTCTTTCTTAGGTGCTCTTGTAGCAAACTTCTTGACTTCAGATCTGGACAGCTATTCTTACTTGAAGAACGTTTCAGTAGAAGGACATCTTTACAATGGATTTAACTTAATAGCAGCTGACTTGAAGTAAGTCTACAAAACATCATAGTTTAAAAATTAAAAGAAGAAAGATAACAGCAGTGAAGAACATTTGTGTGTGTGTGTGTATATATATATATATATATATATATAAAACTGCTAGGACAGAAGTTAAACAGAAGCCTATCACAGGCTAAAGCTAGAGTTTGTCTTTTTTTTTTTTCTCTTCCTGCTATTGGCATATAAGGGCCTACTGTTATTCTAGTCATAATGTTGTTTTTCATCTTAAGGTTATCTCATTCTAATCACTGTTGCCTGCAAAGCTATGCAGCTTCTCTAATAGGCCATAATGAATCTTTTTGTCTTTCCCTGAATATTATCTTGTTTTGAAGGTGACAAAACTTTGGCCATATCTTTCTCAAATGTAGACACATCTGTCTAATTATAAACCTCTTTATCCTCATTTCATGAGGCTTTTTCAGCTGTCAGGTTTTTGACTGAACGTTTAGCTTAGGAAACCTACAATAGACATTAAATTTTGATTTGAATGAAAAAAGCCTGCAGTAGAACAGGCCAAGTTGTTAGGACAAGTTGTTCTTGACCATATAGTTCATCCACACAGAATTTATCAACAGTTAAGGTACTGCAACCTCAACATTTGGCTGGCAAGCTGTGACTTATGAGGAAGATCAGTATTAGCAGAAAATAGAAGAGAATCAGAATAGTGATCACTGAAGTGTGGAAGCAGAAACTTGATTTAAATTGAGCTTAAAAAAAGTCTGCTGGCTGCTATTGTCATCACTTTATGCCTTTACCACTTCTCCAGCAAAACTGATATCTGTGTTTGTGAATCAGGGAGGGGATTTAATGCTATTACTGGGGTGAAGTTTATAGTGGCTTTTTGTGTTAGCTCTGCCCCAGAGTTCAGTACTGAAAAGCTGTGAACAGTAGGTGAAAAAAGTAGGCTGAGCTAAATAATAATGGAAAGATGAACTGAACTTTGGAAATATACTCACTTTCAAACTCCCTTGAAAGGTTTCAGTCTCTCTAACAAAAGTTTCCCTTGTTAGACCACAGCAGCTTTCTAATGGAAGTATGTGTAATAGAAAATGCACATCTGGGGGATGTGGAATATGGAAGCAGTAAGATACAGATGTCCTGAATTAGTGACCCCATGGTTTGTACGTATGTCCCATCTTTTTGTTAACTCCAGGGGATCTTATTACTGATTTTCACACTCACAGGAGTCTCAAAACAGATGGTAGGTGATATTCTTTCACTTAAAGCTGTTGAAAAGGAAGGCAGTAGTGACTTCTTATTCAGGATACAATTTTTGACAAGTCTTACCTCATAGCTGTGTTCAAGGGCTTGTTTGGGCAGCTTTCCCCCCCCGCCTTCCTCAATCTCTGCCTTTTGGACCTCTGATGAGGACAGCTCTGAGCTTTTCTCTGGTTGCCCTTCTACAACAGTTACAGGTTTGGAAATCGGGAGAGGGTTTTCAGTGCACTGATCAAGTAGTCTTTGGAATTGTTCTTGTCATAAATAAAAAAACAATTACCTTAATGATTTTGCTTCACTTGCTTAATACATAACATGTTTACAGTGTGATTATAATTGCTACCGATATATTTTTTTAGAGATCCTAAGGGAACTTTTAAATGATCCAAATGATTCTTGGCATTTTGAACACTAGTTTTTACTGCTGTTATGTATATACTGTTCTCTAGCAAATACTTCAGAAACAAGGCATCACAATCAATAGGGGAATGTATAACAGGGCATTTACTTTGTTCTTGTGTCCCTTAAATAAGGGGAGCTGCTTGTCTAGAAAATAAATCAAAAAGTGTTTTTGTTTGGATGATTTTGGATGGAAAGCTTTTAATATTTATGCAAGTATTAACACTATTTATATTTTGAAATACTTGCTGTTTTCTGCAGTTTTCTGTTTCCTTCCACTGATGGTGGTTAGGTGGTTCCGCTGTTGGTTAGATTATAGGATTCAGGAACCTTGAGATATATTGTGCTTTAACTTTGTTTTCTGTTTGTAAACAAACTGCATGCCATTTTGCTGGTTAATTTTGGTTTCAGAACTTGGCACCTGAAAGCTTCTCAAGAAATAGAAGGAAATTTCATTGCTCATAAGATTTATTCTCCCATCTCTAATCAGCAACGTGTTCTTGTATTCATTGCAAAAAAAAAAAAAAACCATGCTGTGCCTATAGTGTATTTAAAAGTAATTTAAAAAAAAGTTCCCGCTGCTTTCATTATACACTGTCTAGATACTTGCAAAACAAATATTCTAGATGGTAAAAAGAAACCCATGACCTTTTCATAAACATGTTTGTGTTTTACTGATGAGTATGAATGTTTTTATTTAACTTGCCATAATTTGAATTGACAAAGTCAACACAAGTGATGTGTGCCTTAGTTGGCTGTCAGAATTTCTTTGAAAAGTAAACTTGTTTGTAGGTGACTGTAACACCCAGTGCTTGGGCCTGATCTTTTTGAAATAAAGTATTTTAAATATGTAACTTTCTTCCTTTGTCTGAAAGAAGGACTGTTTTGATTAATTTTAAAGCTCAAAATCTGTTATTGTTTCTCTTATTTTAAAATTAAATGTGTCTTTATCCAAATAGGAGAAATTATTTATAGAAAAGCCTAGAGAAAAGCCTTCTATTTATAGAAAGCAGAGGTATTAACTTTTCTTTTTATGAAGGATATGGCTAACACTGAGCCTTTTTTCTTTTCTTCCAGGAAGTTGTTATTAAAACTCTCAAAATTCGGATAATGAAGTAATGCAGTTTGTGGTGGCAGGGGGATTCCCAAGGACTTAGTAGCTCAATGTATCACACAAGGCCGCCTGTACCTAAACCACATCCCTAGTTCGTGTGCCACTTGGTTTGGTTTGTGTGCCTTTCCGAAAGGCACAAGAAAAGCCTCATGGGTTTGGGAGGAGGAGAAGGGAGTGAAGGAGAGGAAGGTTTTCTTGTTGCTTTGTATTCTGCCTCTTGCCTTTCTCAGTTTTATGAGTGAATTAGAATTTCCCCTTTTTGACTGGCTTGACAAAGAAGCTGCAGAATGTTTTTCAGAATGCCTCTTGGAGAAGAATATAGCTAGATAAAGAACTGTGGTGCTGGTTATTAAGGTTCAGATACTAACTGAGGTAGCAGATGTTAACTTAAGCACAGCAATTTAACTTCCAGTACAGGATTAATGTTTGCTCTCTATGTAGTCTTATATGCATCAAATCAGGTATGTCTTTACCTCATAGGAAAAAAAGGAACTGAAAATGGCTTCCGTATTTAGTGCTGCTCAATGTAAATTCAATCTTAACTCTGAGCTTATGCTGTTTTCTTTTTATTCAAAGATTATTTACTGTCTCAGGAACGGCAGTTTGGGACTTGCATAGACAATAAATTAAAAACTGGACTAAAGTCCAAGTGTTGGGTGACTAAAATGCTCTTTTCCACTGTAAATAAGTATCTCACTAGAGTGAAATACAGGATTACCTGATCTCATGGCTGTGTTCTAGCAAATAGTGATAGCAGTTGCAGGACTCGGTACTGTGTCAGCAGATGAGATTGAAGCATGTTGAGAGTGAGCCATCTAATGGCAATTCATGGTTTGTTTCCCGCAAGATACCAAATCTTATAGACTTGCTTGACTTTTTTTTCAGTTGACTTGTTTGATGTTTTGCCAATGTCTGGAAGGCTACTTAAAAAAACCCTCTTGTTTGGGGCTGGGGGGAAACCTGCATGCTCTCAAAATAGGTGATGGAAAATGTTGCTTGCTGTAATGAATCACTCTGTATCTTCAGAAGGAAATACTGCTTCTCTACTCATTTAAAGCATACAGATTTTTCTCTGAACTGGACTGTTTTCCATGCACTAATTCTGGATTTTTATTGGGTTTTTAGTGATGTATTGTAAAATTATACATTCTATGTGATAGTGGTTCAGCTAGTATCGTGTTCTGAGGGGAGAGCAACGTACCTGTGGAATCCTGTAGCAACTGTTGGGCAAACATCCTGATGTTTGAAGATTGCGTGAAGCTACAATTACAGAAGCTGATGTTTTCAAGGCGACCTTATTTATATTTTTCAGTACTACCAAAGGAGATGTAATTTGCTACTATGGAAACAGAGGAGAACCGGAACCTGTTTTCCTAAATCCTGGTAGGATGACTTCAGAAAGCTCTGAATATTGCTTTACAGTGTTGTTACTTCAAAGGAGTGTAGCTGTATTTCTCTATTAATTTAGCTTAAATGTGTATTGTCTTTACCACTTTTCCATTACATTCTTAAAAAGTAAGCAAAATGTCCTTAATTTCGTTCAAGAACTTTCTGATTTCACTAAAGAATAATGAACAAGCTCTGTATTGGTATACCCATATGGCAATTAGTGGGGTGTTACCTAAGAAAATATGATGGAAGGACAGAAGTCTGCCTTGAAGAGTGTTATTTTCAAAGGTTTCTAGGCTGGACCGTAGCTCTCCTTTGCCTGCATTGTTAGAGACGTTGAGGCCATGCTTCCATAGAGGCAGCTGGTCTTAAATGGAAGGGAAAGCCCTCCTTGATTTGTCTTCAGGCAGATTGATTTAAAGTATATGAAGTCTAGCTGTTTCTACAAAGCAGTACTCCAGAATTTGTTCCTGAAAAGTCCCCTTAAATGGACAGGGATGCACAGCACACTAAACAGCAAAGCTGCCTGACAACAGTTGCTACAAGGATATGTTGATGGTGATGGCTTATTTTGCTTGCTTAGGTTACCTGGCAAAACGTTATTGCCAATAGGCAAATAGTTACGGTAGCAATTACAGCCTAAATCCCTGGAAACCATTGTTAGGTTTTGTAAAACAGCAAACACAAAACAGATTTTGATCCAGACAGTTAGGACAAGCTCTGGCCGCTTGATTATCTCTCTCTTTCAGACTATATGGAGCTGGGTGGTGGTTCTGCAGAATAGTCGGGCATTTTTTCTTAGGGAGCAGAGATGCAGATTAACGGAGATGTTAAGGATCAGGATTTAGAAAAAGTGAAATGTCTCCTTTATTGCTTCTGGCCATAGCTGTTAAGCTACTGTCCAAAAGAGCACTACATTTAATAGCGATTTTTAAAGCCTTCATACAAATGTGGCAATATTCTTTTAGGACTGTCTTGGAGCATGAAGTCCTGGTGTGTTGTGCAGGTGGAAAAATAGTGCTACTTTAATGGTGTAATGAGAGAGTGCACCACAAAAGACTGCAAAGACTTAAAATTTTGTGCTGTTCTTTAATGTTCAAAATGGAGGTTAAAAGTAATTGCTGCAAATATGGATTGGAATAAAACTGCTGAATACTAGCACAGCGGAATACTTAAGCACAGCCTAATGTTTGATACAGGTCTCTGGTCTAGGATTAGGCCATGTGCTGCTGATAAAAAGATTATCTGGGGAACAATTTGGGTTGCATTCAAATGTATGAAATATGTCCTTAAAACTGCATCACCAGAACATCCTTTCTGAATTGATTTTCTCCATCTGAAAATTATTCAGAATGAATGCAGCTAGAAGTGGTCCATGGAGGACTGGTCTGTGAACACTTTACTATTGCTTTTAAATCTAAAACTTGCCATATAATTGTCCTATTAGAGACTGCTGTTATTCTGGGACATGTAAATCTTGAAAGACCAGGGTTACTTTGAAATAAAACCACTGCCGTCATGATTATATAAGTTATCTTCTGTTTAGGTTATGTGTTGCCCTAATGTTTCTATTAATAACATGCTTTGGAATAAAAACTAGCATCTTTATTTCACCTGTTTGCACATGTGTGCATAACAGTGGTATTAAAAAACCCCAAACCCTAGGATTCAGACAATTTTAGTAATCTTAGAACGTATTTAGACCCGCTTCAGAGATCAGCTTTTGTTTTCCATGTATAGGAATATATGGATTGAGTAATTGTTTGTTGGATACACCATGGAAGAAACTTCAGTATGGGAAGCAGCTTTTCACAGAAGTGATCAAGAGAAGTGAAGACCTTACTAAAGAAAACTTGGTGCAGGAGCTCCTTACAGTGATGAATAATCAAGAGCCGTAAGAACATATTATCAAGAATGTACTTAAAATGCAATGTGACCGGTTAATCTTTAATTTTTGAAGTAGGAAAGCTGACTGTATTTTGGTGATCTAAATGGAAAGTTAGGGGTGTAAAACTGCTGCAGTAACCCCTCTGACCTCAGCATTTCCTCTGTGGGGTGCTGATACCTACTAAATTACAGCAAATGATGCTTGATACACTTCAGTATATGGTAGGTCCTCTTTCTAAGTACCTTCCAAGCTTTCATAGAAATACTGTCAAGAAATGTTAAGGGCTGTCCTAGATATCTTCCAAATAAGCTTGCAGGAAGAAGGGATCTTTGTTCAACACAAAGAAAAGAAAAGAAGAAGCTGGGGTCTAACTAGAAGAATGTTTGCTTACATAGTGTGCCTGAAATAACCTGATCATGAAAGTTTTATGCAAGACCTTAGGGGAAGTAGAATGCAGAAAGGAAGAAGTAACAATGAAGGTGAAAAAACTGCCGAGATAGGAAAAATATTTCTTACAGGGAGACAGAAGTTCAAGACCTTGAAAGACTCTGTGGAAAAGAACTGACAAGTCATTTTACCTTTAGTCTTTTTCATACTTCTGTCTCAAAATTCACACTCTTTTTGTTCTTACCATTGTTATTCACTTAACTTGCAGCTTATTGCAAGAGGGGGGAATGTCTATATTAAATGTATTTTTTTATACAGTCAATTACCAGATCCTGCAATTGAAGACCAAGGGATGGATTACATACGTCCTTTATTAAACAAATATGCAGCTGTATGTGTTCGATGCCCTGGATACGGAACAAGGTAAAACTTCATAGAAAAGTTTATGTGCTGAATCAAAGCATATCTTGCATTATGCTGCTGTAAATTTTGGCTCTCCAGTGCCTGCTTTAAATTACTTCAGATATTAATCAAGCATAATTTAGTAAAGGTTTCCTTATATGATACCGTAGTGTCTTAGATAACTTGGCACTAGCTGCATTATGGTTTATTTGGGAGCTGTAGGCAGCTCCAGTTTGTCCAGGACAAGATAATCTAAATTACAAATCATTTTTACTGTTCCATTTCTAGTCTACTTTTTTGAAGTTACTGTTGTTGTTCACTCATGTTCATTTCTCTTAAACCCCTCCAGAAACTCCCTAAACCAAGTTGTTGCCCATTTCTTATTTCTTTCGCCTTTCTCCTCTATTGGCAACACTGAATTACTTTACGCTGTGAGTGTTGTCATATTATATTAAACTGCAGCAACATTTCATATTTCCACAGGCAGCTTGTCAGCTGCCTTTGAAAGTCCCTTCTGGACTGTCCTTCTGGACTGTCCTGTTTGAAGGAAGGCCAGGGTCTTCCAACTATCACTATATTATCAAACTGAGGTCCTGGTTTCCTAGCAGGTCTGACCACCTCTAATTTTGATCATACCAAAACACAGGAAGCATCAAAAAAAAAAAGCAAACTCAGATCTTTCTAGTTACCTTTTATATCTGATCAGCTACAGAAGAGATTTCTTTTCCAAGAGACGGAATAGTGTCATCTGCATAGCTAGAGACTGCTTTAGGCTTTAATATCTAGGTGTTATTTTCATATATTAAAACCTATTACTCTTGTTCAAAAGAACATATATTTTCATTTTCCCTTAAGTGATGCTGCTGTTCTGAGATTCTAACTTCTTATCCAGGCTGTTCTGCCATAACTGTAAGAAAATTAGAGTAATAGATACATCTTGCATTTAATCCTGAGCAGGTCAAAATTATGGGTTAAGGAGTTGCTGCTCATAGGGAATTTGTGCTTTCAAGGACTGGCAATGATTTTGTCAGCCAGTGCTTGTGTTAGTCAACCTTAGTGTTCCTGTTGTATAGGTGAAAATGGGTAAGCAGGACACTCATTTCTGTATTTCTAAGTTCATGTTTTGGCAAAGAAACCACTGAAAAAATGAGCATCTTGATGAAAATATATGCAAAAAAAATTACTCTTGGATACTGAAGCCTTAAAGTCATAAAGGAACACTTCCTTCTGCTTGCTTTGCAGGTTATAGTGTACTTATTTCAAAGGATATAGAGTTATTCCTGTACTAACTTGGAAGAAATACTTATATTTTACTAGTGCGCTAACAATATATTTCAAATCTTTCCTGCTGTTAAAACTGTATACTCACACTCTTAGGCTAACTTTCAGTGTTCATTAGGCCTCACAATACTGTTAGGAAGCTGGGCCTTTTTTTATGTGTGAAAAACACCAATGACTTGGAGGCTGCCAAGTCAGGATGGCAGGAAACTCCCACTTCCTGTCAGCTGGCAATGGATTTTCTACATAAGCTGCCATTTTCCTATGATCAATTAAATTTGAAGTCAGAAACAGTGGTAGACATGCATGAATGGAATCTGCTTTTCATGGAGGTAATTTCCTGTTTAGAAGTTACATCCTAAACAGAAGTTTGTGTTATCACATTGGTGTCCTGTGGTAGCAGTGATGTTTAAATCTTGATGGCCTTGAAGTTACAGGAGAGATGAAGATGGAATTTTGTTGTAAATAATCATGAGTTTGTGCGTGCCATCAGGTAAAACTTAAATTCATGCTGTGTGACTTGAATGCCTTTGGCACTAACAAAAATTTAACCTTTTTATCATACTTTTTGTAGGCATGCAGTTTTATATTTGGCTTTCCTGAAGTGAAACAGGAAAAGAGCAGTGGAGTGAGAGCAAGAGCCTGAAAGTGCCCATTTGCAATTGCCTGGATGATTTCTACCCTGCTTAGCACAGTGATGCAGTCAAGAGCAATGAGTTAATGTCAGGGTGATGTTGCAGGACTCTAGAAACCTGTGTGACAGGTTTAACCTTCTCCCTTCATGTTGTTTCAGGACCAACACGGTCATTCTCATTGATGCAGAAGGAGAGGTTACTTTCACAGAGCGCACCATGATCAATGCCGATGTCGACCAGTGGAAAACAAGCTCCTACGAGTTCAAGCTACAGATTTAACAACTTTGAATGGATTGTAATAAAAGCGATGAGAGAACAAGCCATTATACTCCCATACATGTTTTGTGCCAGGCTCCAGAAGCAAGAAAGAGCAAGGAAAACAAAAGTTTATTGAAATCAGTAGCACACCCTATCAGGTTCCCAAATACTTTGGGTAAAACCAAGAAGGAAACTGTTCCATAGTTACTTTAGTTTAAAAAAAAAAAAAAAAAATACTTCTGAATATGCAATTTTTTGATTTAGCTTCCTAGCTCAAAATCATAAATACTAATGAAAATTATCAGTATTGATACTTCTGGGCCTGATTCAGCTGCATTCTTGCATATCATTAATTTCTTTTTACTTCAGCTGCAGATGAAGATACAGAATGTATTCCTTCTAAAAATTACTGACTTTGCTTTTGCAAATAGGAAATCAGATGGACAATTCTATACAGCCCTTTAATTACTTTGTCTGCTGAAACAACCATGTAATATGATGCCTTGATCAGTGTTGAGAAGTCATGGGGGGAAGAAGGGTCAGCCCCCAAGGCAAGGCCATTTCTGCCCAAGACAGAAGCCTTTGCTCATCTGTCTCTAAAGTCATTTCAAAGAGAATCTTGAGCACTTCCCAGGTCATAGGAGGGAAAAGTTATTTGCTGCTTTTGTTCTGTCTAAAGGTTTGACGAGACATTTGCTTTCCCTCCAAAATACAGTTTGAGGTTTGTAAAGCTGATGCTTAAGTGCAGTAACTGAATGTATGTTCTTTGGGGTATTAAATGCTTTAACACTTAACTCTTAAGCTATGCCATGGTGCAGTGTTTTGCCTTGGGGAAGAGAAAGATTCCTTTTTTCCTGTAAATAGTACAGCAACATATTTTGTTCCACAATTTCATATCTTCTCTCAAATCAAATTTAAGTTCAGTCTGTTCAGTTTTATTCAGTAGAAACTAAACAATTATGGAAATAGATTGGTTTATTTTTGAAGGGAATAAAGTGATCTATATTGTGACACTTTGTTTTCTGGTAGTCTAACTAGCAATGTTAACTTTCTTTTTTCTTTCCCAGCAGGCAGAGGAGGACTAGTTATGTATTTGTAAAGAGAAATTGAATATAAAGTCTGCATAACAGGCTTTTTCCATAAGTGTGCAACTTTGGCTTTATTTCTTTATTGGTATAATACATCAAAGCTGGAGCGATGGCTCTTACTTTTAGTAAAAGAGGTTTGTTGTAAAGTTAAATTGTTGGTGGAAAAAAGTTGGGTATTAGATGCACTTCCTATGTTCCAATAACTATGAATTATAAAACCATTTCAATGCATGCTTTTAAAAGTTATTTAATGCTAGTGGTAGATGATAGACTGTAGCTAATATCAAAGGATCCTAACCTAAGTTGTTTTGCTGCTGCTGTTCTATTCTGACTTATTTTGAGTGCTAAATCTTAAAATGGTAATAATTGTATAGTTATTTTCTGTCCTACTTAGTGAATATATTTTTCTACAGTTCTCTGATTACGAAGTAATGATTATGAAGTAGCATCCTACTGGATGCAGTGTACAAAGATGTGCAGCTTCTTCTGTATTCAAGTCTGTTCCAGCCCCCTTGCTCCTTGGACTTCCCGGTGAAGTAAGGGAATACTGCGAAAGGCCATTCCCGGGCTTTGAAGTGCCAGGTGATACCAAAGCACTGTCCACCAATGATTTTTTATCTATTGAAATAACTTGTAGATACCAGGACTACTTCCATGTCTAGTTACAGGCACCTAAGTGCTTTTTTGATTCAGGACTATATAAATTATTTTTTGACCACCTTGATTCTAAGACTGTTAATACAGGGATGTGCCTGGTTTAAAAACAGGAAATAATCTCTTGTGTCTTTACACTGTTTGTATGAATAAAAAAAGCTGTTAATGAGTTGCAAAGAAAAAGCTATTGCTGTCTTCAATTTGAGTTTGACAAGTGCATATTTAAACATAAAACTCAGCTTTAATTTGCTCAGTTTGCCTATCAAGCTTTTTGTATCTTAATAAAAAATGCCAGTGTACATTTGAACAAAACATACTACTTACTTGTCATTTAGGTAATATGCTTTAAGATGCTTATATGTTCTTTCATATTGAAACCATTTATAAACCTTGGTTTTTACAGTAGTCCTGCACCCATTAATATTTATCCTCATCTTTATACACAAAAGGGAAGCAAGTCAGACCTTACATGTGAAAACATCTGATTCTAGTGTTCTGTATTGAAATCAGAACTCTTAAATCTAGGATTTGTTCTTCCCTCCCCAAGCAAACAAAAAACCCTAAAGTACCCAAACCTCTAAACTTCTCTTATGTCAGAACATAGGAAATATCACTTAACAGAATCCCGGAAGGATTGAGGTTGGAAAGGACCTCTGGAGCTCTAGTCCAACCCCCCTGCTCCAGAGCATGGGGCTCATGGTGGCATCCACGTGGGTTTTGAGTATCTCCAAAGACAGACATTCAAATATAGACTTACTGTAGTAAGTATCAATTAAGTGCACTAATTTCTTTGAAGCTTAGGAGTGTTTCACTGTGTCTTCAGAAGGACCCAGATGAGGGCTTCAGTTGTAGTTGCAAGTTGTTATCATTTCTCTTAGAAATAATCAAGTATAAAATGGTGCATAAGCTCTGTTTGCTGTTACAATTATAGTTGCCATGGATCCACTGGAAAAAATCAGTTGTAGCTAATATTAAGGAAACTGTTCTATTTTTATAGAGACATTTTAAAAAGTAAAAGGGAATTTTAAATATTAACTTTTAAAAACTATAAAGGAAGCTATGACATTTTAGTAAGCTTGATCATATAGAATATGCCTTCAAAATTCTAAATTTGCAAGGGCTTTTCTCCTGACTTCACTGTTTTTTTTTTCTCTCCCTGTTTAAAAAGGTAGTGGAGAAGTTCTAAAATACTTGTAACCATTTAACTCCACCTTTTGTTTGAAGCTATTTCATAATTGTTATTTACATGTGTCTTCAATGCTAGAATCGGAAGTCATTCTGAGCAGTGTTTGTCACAGCAGTTAATTGTGCATTTGTGTAGATGTGAATGTAAATGTCTGTACCTTTGTGAGGTTAAAATGCTCCTGATCACAAAAGATCAGAAATGAAAGTTTTGCAATGACTTAAGCTTTTGGTATTTATTTACTTTGAGTCCTGTATGTTTCTTTAAAATAAGTTTCATAATAAATACACTTTAAAAGTACTTTAAGGTGTTTAGGTTGCCAAGAAAGCACAAAAAATCACATCAGAGATTCAGCAGATAATGTGACAGAGCAAAAGCAGTGCGTTCTTAGTGGCAAGCAAACTGCCTTACAAAATGCTTTTGAAGAGAGAGAATCCAAGTTCTGTAAGAACTAAGTACCCTGGGAATTGGTTGTGGACATGTAGTTGTCCTGTCTTACTGTTCTTAGTAGTTTTACCAAAAGAAAAACTTGGTCCGGAGAAAGAACTAGTCTTGTAGACTTCTTAGTATGATCAGGATTTAGCTGATTATTTATTATTAAAAGTTGCATGTACCAAACTGAGTATCGAGATAAAATACTAAAAGGACTTTGAATATTGCTTTTATGTTATCATAAGGAAATAAGTCTGTTCAAATTGAGTCCTTGAAATACAAAGCAATAATAAGACTTGATAGTAAGACAATAATAATAGCTTGAATAATATGCATTTATGGCTTAAACTTCCTTATTTTTACGGAACACTAACCAGTAGGAGTTAGTTCCGTATCATCTGGAGTCATGCAACAAGAGGTTGCAGGAGTTCTGACTGACTTTGTGCAGAGAAGTCTTAAGCTTTTGAGAAGTTAGGAAATGCTCTTGAATTTATGAAAATAGGATCTGTATTGTAATCAACTGGAGAAGCAATTAGAATTAACAGAGTTACACAACCCATCAATGTGAGCCATGCTGTGAAATTTAAGTTGAGCAGAGTGAAGAAAATGTTGAATATAGCTCACCAATGTGAATATATTAAGCTACTATCTCTGGAATATTCTGTATCAAGAACTATATCTGAAAAAGCACTATCACATTAAATTACTCAAATCTACCCTATCTCTTAAAATAAGAGATAAGGACTGAACATAGCACTAAAGATTATGCATGAGGGGAAAAAAATGTTTAATGCAAGCTTTGATATTAAGTAGGCTAGGCAAGAATTAGAACAGTCAGACAGTCTTTTCAGACAGTCTTAGGCTGTCTTCGTGAAGGAGTAAAATACTAGAGATTCACATAAAATTTTTGGTGCCTATGTACTAGAAAGATAAATGGAGAAAAACAAATGCAAATTAAGAACAAATCAGTAGTTGCAGAAATTAGGTGGGGGGAAAAAAGGCCTAACTTAATTTAGCAGAGAACAAATATAACCTGGTACATTAAAACATCTTCTGAGGATGAAGCTTGAGTGGGAATGGAGTGGCTTTTTACAAGTAGACAAAGAGGGATAGTGCACAGCTCTGGACAATAGCAGGAATACTTTAGAGATTTGTATTCTAAACATGAAGTGTTTATTACACTTAGTGAAGTGTCATAAAGTGTTAACTTACAGCTACTAGAGTAACTACTATTATGTTATTGAAAATTGGCAAACAATTCAGATTAATCTTTAAAATTGGGTATCTCTCCTAATTTACTTTGCATTCAACTGTGCCGCAGACTCCCTGTAGGTAAGAGTTCTTCAGTGTATAGCTGGGGACTGTGTGCTTTAAGTGGTTTCAACACAAGACATGGCAACAAAGGTAAAAATAAGGAGGACTGCATAGCTGGGGAATTCCTATTACTGACTTCAATTAAGGCATAATGTTTAAAAGCTGAGGTAAAAAAATAATAATCTTTGTCTTTGATAAAATTACACTGTTTATTAATATTGTTTATTTCATTTCCAGACAATTATTGTCATGTTTTCTTTTTTAAATATTTATTAAATATCAGCCTGACTTATCACAATATTTCTTCTTACTAAGTATTTAAGTTTTGGTGGCAGAACTTTGATGTTTTTGTTAAAATATAATAAACATGCAGGTGAAGCCCTAATTTCTCT